ACATTTCCTCATAAGATACATATCTCATAAAAACTGATCAAATACATTCCGGATCAGACATGTATTGTCTAATCTAAAATCTTGAATCGTTATACAGCAATCCCGCATAAAACCTCTCAACATACCATTGGAGTCATAATGGTATATCCCTATCAACACCCATCAGTTTTGATACACATCAAGCCTCAGCATGACCCATAGGATACATTCCGTTTCAAATCAGTAATGTCTTTTCAAACCCCAAAAATCCTCAGAACTAACACATCTCATACGAACTTATTAGATACCATTCAGATTAGGCATGTATTGTCCAGAACTCGTGAATTCTCAGACAGAAATAACGCATGAAACATCATAACATACGAATACAGTTATAACGGTAAATCCTTATCAACACTCATGAATTCTGGAACACATCTTACCTCAGCTTGACTAATGAGATACGTTTCATTATTGATCAGTAATTACTTATAAGAAATTTCGAATACTTGAAACCAAATATACCACATACAACCTCATTAGCAACCGATAGAATCAGGGCAGCAGTTCCCTATTGAATATCATAATTTATCGAACACTTTTCACCCTCACAAAAACCCATGAAATACGTTGAAGATTATATCTTTATTGTCTTTCGAAAACTAATGATTACTCAATAATTATTTACCGCATTCAAGCTGATAAGAAACCTATAATTTTAGAACCGTGTTTTTGTATTTGAGCTCATAAACCTAGGAACTAGTTGTCTTATAAACACTCATTGGACACATTTCAGATTAGGCATTCATTGTCTAATTGAAACTCGTAAATTCTCAGTTATTCTGAGTCACATGAATGCTAATAGAAATCGCATTAAATTAGATAAGGAATTCCTTGGTCAAACTCTAAAATCCTGAACTATTTTTCTCCTGACGATACCCAATAGAATTCTATTTGTGAATTCCTACACATTTCTCATATATACTAAGACGCATGAATGTTCATAGAATACTTTTCCAATTGGAAGTGGAATATCTTATTGGTGGTCATAGGCTCCTCAAACCACTTGTGCCTGATAAAAACTCTCATACTCCATATTTGTATACGCTTATAAATCACATATACTTATGAAATATCATTAAACCTTTTAGAAAGTTCATGTGCCAGAGATAATGTACTGATACGCTACAGAACTCGGGTATATATCCTTATCAATACTCATATTTCATCTATATTTCTTTATGAGACTTCATAAGGTATTTTTGGCAGGGTCGTCTGACTGATCTTGCTAGTGAAGGGATGATAGCAGAGATTTTCGAAGAACATTCCCCGTGGAAGTATCGATAGAAAAGTGAAAGGTCGCCGACCTTTCTACGATGTTCCAATGATGTCAAAGAGTGAGTGAGTGTGGCGTCACCCACCAGGCGAATGGCTCTTCTCAGGATGGAATCTAAGAGCATTAGCGTATGTTTTGGTGCTGAACCCCATATGTGGAAACAGTATTCTAGAACAGGCCGTATCTGCGCTTTGTAGATCATGGGAAGTTGTTCTGTTTAGAATGGCAACAGAAAGAGAATTGAACGCCCTTTAAGGGGTTGAATCAAAGGAGCCAAAACTATGCCTTCCAAGTGTCCCCCTTGACATTGGAATCGACCAATTTTGTTCGATTTTTAATTTTACTTACTGGGAGGAAGATTGGGAAGTTTTCTAATTGACACGGCATTTTACGGAAACTGCTCAACAAAAAATTATATCATACGACAAAAATGATGTTCCACTTGACCCCCTTCCCATTTGGGATTCTCCTAGGGGGTGATAAACCAGGAGGACTACAAATATTCATTGCCGATAACGCGCTAGAGCGTGATGCGGAAATTCCGCTGGCTGCCGATCACGCGCAATGAGGGTGGGAAGCTTTCAAAATTTCATCCTGTATATATGTCCGATATGGAAATATTCATTGGTGATATCAATATCAACTCACTGAATACATCTGATAACATATTATGTTTGATGGCCCAACATTATAAGGATTCCCTTTCGTGCGCTCCAAGCGATAAAAAAAAACTGGGATTCAATTCTCTTATGAATAAACCAACGGGAGTACATAAAACTTCCTTTAGTCTCATATATCATATTAATGTCAAAATGACAGGGGAATTGAATAACAAATTGAACCTGCGCTCATTCCAAACTTATATTCAATGAAAAAATCAGACAAATCCAAAGTTATGACCAAAAGATGTACAAAATTGAGGATGTCAATATTCCTCATAATTCAATTTTAGTGTCCTTTGATGTGGTTAATTTGTTTTCTTCGGTTGCATTTGTCCTTCAATTATTGTTCAAATATTTCTACATTGTAGGATATTGTTTTCAAATAAACTTTTTGTCAATTCAACAATTCTTATTGTTCACAAGTTTCTGGCCTAGGTATGAGTAGTAACTGATCTCCACTTCGGGCCGACATTTTTCTACAGAATCTGGAAAGGCAACTAAATAACTTCAATTCGAACCAAAAAAAAAATGTTTTTCTACAAACGTCAAAAAATGACAAGGTTCGCGCATTGATAACAAATTGCGAAGTGACACTTTTTTTCAGTTTCCTACGTTTCCATGATACCTTGCACAAAACAATGCGCGAAGTTAAACAGTGCGCGAAGTACCTACTTAAATTCCAACTTTATGGCCCTCAATCGAGCAAACATCAACGAAATCATATATTTCTGAATGATCAACAATAACTTTGTTTTATCTATTGGAGCGCACGAAAGGAAATTCCTACTATGTTCGTGGAACATCGTGCGTACCTAGGGAGGATAGGGGGAGGCCTTTTAAGCCAGTTCAACACTATTTTTTATATCAAGCTAAGCATATTTTCACTTTAAAACTATATTTTTTGACGTTCGTAGAAAAAATGTTGTTTGCAACTCGAGCGCGAAATACTTTGGTGATCGAGATCTGATTTTTTTAACGAGGCGTAGCCGAAATAGCATTTCGCGCTCTAGATACAAAACTAATTATTTTCTACAAACGTCAAAAAATGACAAGGTTCGCGCATTGATAACAAATTGCGAAGTGACACTTGTTTTCAGTTTCCTACGTTTCCATGATATCTTGCACAAAACAATGCGCGAAGTAAAACAGTGCGCGAAGTAGAATGCTGAATCTTGAACCACCCTGTATTTGTTCCAATTAAATGTCAGTACATAGTAAATCAAAAGTTGGGATAGGGACATGAGAGCCGTTTTGACCAATAATGATTAGTTTCGACGCAAAAAAATCCTAAAGTTGAAAAATCTCGATTTTGAACACCCTATATCTCTGTAATCATTCTCGCTACACCCAAGTGTGATGCATTGATGAAATCAGCTCACAAAGGAGAATGCGAAAATGCAATGAAATATACAGAGTGCCCCATAAGAAAAAGTATAACTTTGATACGCCACACATTTCTGAGTCACCCTGTATAAAGCGAAATAATTTGGAAATGTGCTGCTCATGATCCTAGATCATCTCTGGAATTTTTGTTCATTTATCTCAACCAGTAAAGCCGTTATCTCACTTTGCCACACTAATGACTCACTCTGTAGAATCGTGAATTCTTCGAAACGTAGGACATTTTGAACACTTACTCTAACTGATTCAATATTTTATGTTTCTAGTCAAATATCTCTTAATTTTCTACTTATGATTCTTTGCTCCATCAATAACTTCAGGACAAGAATAATTTTATTGTTTTTGAATCTGAATAAATAGGTAATTGAACTCAATAAAATTCATTTTTCTATAAACGTCAAAAAATGACAGGGTTCGCGCATTGATAACAAATTGCGAAGTGACACTTTTTTTCAGTTTCCTACGTTACCATGATACCTTGCACATAACAATGCGCGAAGTAAAACAGTGCGCGAAGTACCTACTTCGCGCATTGTTAAGTAAAATATATGAGATATTTTTATTCCAACTTAATGGTCCTCAATCGAGCAAACATCCACGAAATCATTCATTTCTGAATGTTCAACCATAACTTTGTTTTATCTCTTGGAGCGCACGAAAGGAAATTCCTAATATGTTCGTGGAACATCGTGCGTACCTAGGGAGGATAGGGGGAGGCTTTTTAAGCCAGTTCAACACTATTTTTCATATCATGCTAGGCATATTTTTAATTTAGAACTATATTTTTTGACGTTTGTAGAAAAAATGTTCTTTGCAACTCGAGCGCGAAATACTTTGGTCATCTCGACTATTTTTTTAACTCGGCTACGCCTCGTTAAAAAAATCAGATCTCGATCACCAAAGTAGCATTTCGCGCTCTAGATACAAAAATAACTATTCATACCAGCATCATTACTACTCCATTATTTTCAAATCGAAATATTCCGAAAACAGAACATAGTATCAAGTTTCACCAGGAGTACCTTTTTGGTGTAGAATTGAATGATGTTCAAGCTTATATCATATTTGGATTGAAAAATCTAACTTGAAAAAAATTATGTTCTAAAGTACTCGGTACAAACCGTGTAACTAGCGCCCTCTATGAGGGTCAGATATAAAAACGAATTCATGCGATGTGTCAGATTCCAAGAAACGACCATACAAAATGTCATTACTATGTTGCCAGTAGTTTCAACATAATCGTGAAAAGTGTGTAAAAAAATCATTTTTTCAACACCTTGTATCATGAAAACGGATGCCGTTACGTCTTTTTTTCACTGAGGGGGTCACGTTTTTTTGAAACACCTTGTATAACAAAGAACTGGCATTGGATGATCCCAAAGTTTCCAATGGCATGAAAAACATTTTTCATCGTTTTATGGACGATATAAACTTTATCACTTAACGTTTCGGGAATATTCAAGAAATATCATCTTCAGGAACCCCTCTCAGGGGGCCGTAGCTCCCTTAGGGAAAATTTCTCGACTCATATCCATTGGAACTTTTCTTCCTATTTTTCATCTCAGAAGCCGTTGGTGAGGTTTGGCGGGCTAATTTCGGAACACCCTGTATATTTTTTTCAGATTAATCCTCAACACACAGTTCCAGTTCTTGATGATGACGGTTTCATTTTGGCTGATAGTCATGCCATCATGTCATATCTGGTGTCAAAATATGGCAAGGATAAATCTCTCTACCCCACTGATTTACAACAAAGGGCCATAGTAGACCATCGTTTGCATTTTGATAGTAGCATTCTTTTCAACAGGGGACTCGTAATTGGAGTGAGTGTTACTTATTTTTATTTATGTATCAAGGGCGCGTAATATATGAGATTTTATGGATCTAGAGTGTTATTGACAACACTTGGTCCATAAAAAAAATTAGGCCAAAATAATTGATGGAATCACGTTACCATAGTAACTCAGTGATATTTTCGAAATAGAAGTAGACTATATTCGCTATCAATTTATATCATCACAGGTAACTTATTTTGTGTTCAATCCTATGCATGATTGCATATCAGAAAAATCACAACTAAAATATAAATTTAGAAACAAGACACACTTAGTCTTCTCTACAATTTTTTTAGTATCAGAATTATCTGTATCTGAACATATTCCGGAATATCAATAGGCCATCATCAGCAGAACTATTCTTTGGACTGTGGAAATTTTGCACTATTTACAAACATCAATTTTCAACAATGCTGTTGCTTTTCTTTATTTTCAAAACTTTACATAGCGTTCTTCTAATGATCTACTATTGATAGTCCAAAACATGTTTAGATACAGATTATTCTGATATCCTAATGAATTTGTGGCAATGACTCAGTGTGTCTTCTTCCTGAATTTCATTCGTTCCAAATTCAAATTTGGTACCGTGGACGTCTGTGGGACGCACAAATGTCCTACTTGAGGACCAACTAGTTACGTCCTTGAGGGATGTCCCTGGGACAACTATCGAATACCTAGATCCTACAGTATTCCTCATCAAGCACTACAGAGGACATCCTTAGGACAAACTATAAGCAACGCTGAGAAATATCAATTGGATGTCCATAGGATGTCCCAGGGACGTACGAATTATTCTTGAATTTGAATTTTTCTGTGCCCCTCTAGGACCAGATCTTGCATAACTGATTAGGACATCCAGTTGAGTTGATGGTCCGTAGAAGGTCCTTGTGAAGGACATTGACGAGGAGTACTTATAGCCTACGAGCAATCATTCGTCGGCGAGGTGTAAGTAAACGTCCTCGCAGGGACAACATATTGAAAGTACCGACTGGGACGTCCATAGGACGTTATTTCAAGGACATTGGAAGAGTACAGTTCATGTACCAATTGGGACATCCGACGGATATCCCTGAGGGACATTCGAAGGATGTCGATTGTTATGCGATCCTGGAAATATTAAGGGCGTCTGTGCAGAGATATTTGAAGGAATGTACCATCAGATACATTTCATGGTTGTCCAGAAGGGACATCATATAAGATCTGAAGTCATGCCAGAATATGTACTACTCGGAACATCCGATGGATGTCCCTGAAGGAATGTTCAAAATCATATCCCATCAGGGACATGCCAAGGACGTCCTTGCATGGACATTCTACAATATGTACCACGTAGGACGTCTAAGGGATGCTATTTCTAGGACATTTGGAATGATGTACCAGCTGGGACATTCCGTGGACGTCCTTGCTCGGACATTGCATGAGATGTACGGGATGGGACGTCCCAAGGACACTTATTTTTGGTTCAGGACATTCGGACGTTAATTGTACCAAATAGGGACGTCCCTAGGACGTTGTGTGCTATCAGGGAAGTGCCACTTTACGTTCCAAAAACAGGAAAAAAAGTTATATTTAGGATCCAATACAGAATTGAATAGGATTCAGTAGGGAGGGGAAAAAGTAGGTGCCAAAATGATGGCCTAAATCCGACTTTTTTCCTCTTAGACCTGCCGTCATTCAACCACAATTTCGTTAATAATTAGCGCAGGGGCGGCCTCAAAGTTGTTAAAAAACCATGTATGTAGCAACAGGTTTCTAAAATCTTGATATCGGTTTTGGAATAGTGAATTGACTGAACGATTATCCCACTAATCGAAGTTGAAAGTTATGTTAATGCAATGTTGAAGCAATTACTGTAACGGACGTCCAGCAATATTGCAAAGGAAGAGTTTGATAATGTAGAGTTTCAACAATATTACATGGTGCTGTGACATTGCTGGAACGTTACATTAACAAATTTATATTTTCATTATTACTGAACGTCCGTTTCAGGTATTGCTACAACCTTGCATCAACATAGCTTCCAAATTTGCTTAGTGGGGTGGATACCCATAGTCTTAAAAATATCGTAACGAAACGTGTCAGCAGTGTGTCAAAATCATGAACAAATTATGGTTGATCAACTAACTGTTTCCTAAATTGTTAAATCAGGTATGCAAGTTGTTATCAGAAATACATAGTCAGCCCAAATTTTCATTTAATATACGTCGCAGTCCATAGAAGAGCGCGACGCGCACATTATTCAGCTACATAACAAGCTTTCATTTAATGATGAAATAATCGTTACTAAGGAAAATGTATCGAAAATTCATCGAAAAAGAATATTGTTCAAATAATAAAATTTACTTATTTTCCAATATTCATTAGAAAGAATATTCATTTGAATATATTTCCAATATATTCTTCAAAGAAACATTCATTTCATCATTGAATGAAGGCCCGTACCGATGAGAATGCTTTGTAATTATTGATACGGCGGCTTTTCTAAATATATTGACGGCTGACAGCGTATGTTGATTAAAAATTCGGACTGACTATGTTTTTTCGATGTTTCCTATTATCAGCCACTTGTACCTATACCTAATCCAACATTTGAGGAAACAGTTTCACCATCAACCATACTGCTGACGTGTATCCACCTCAGTTTTTAGTTGATTCACTCTTTACACATCAATTTTCAGATTATAGAAAATTTTTGCGACATACACGGTCTTTAAAAACTTATTGCTAACGAAACTTGCTGACTGACGGCAGCTGTCTACGCTATTGGTATACACTCTGAATACTACATGATATCGAAATTACAGCCTTCAAAAAACTGTTGGTCTTGGTCTAAGCAGTTATTTTTCTTCTTGGACCCTCGCCCCGAAAAAATATCTTGGGGACGACCTTGGGATTCACGAAGAACTAGGAACAAGTCTAATCTATTTCAACCAGTCTTAAGAGTTCAACAGCTTAGAAACTACTGCTACGATGCTTCTATAACCAATTACTCATTTTAGAAAAGCCTGATTTTTGAAGGAGCCAAAGAAATTCCTCAGAAGCTTCTGGACCAGTTGACTGAAGCTGTTCATATGGTGGAGAAATTCCTTGAGAAGACCGAGTTTGTAGCTGGAAATCAGATGACCATTGCAGACTTCAGCTTTGTGACCAGCATCACCTCTTGGACACCATTTGTGCCTCTCACAGAAGCTGAATTTCCGAAGATTATGGCTTGGTTGAAGAAAATGGAGCAGTTGCCATACTACAGTGAGAATCAAATTGGGTTGGATCAATTACTGAAGGTTTTTGAAACAAAGATGCCCAAATGAACATGTACTCTGTGAATGCATCAATGGAAACACCTAAAATCTCTCGATATGTTATTATAACTTAACAAACAATATAAATGCTTGATTTCTCCATCAACATGTTTTTTTTGTATTTCGAGGCCAAGTGAAATGTTTGGCTGCGTACCTTTGCCAGGAAATATACTTGAGAGACCGTTGGCGACATGTCATCAGTGAAGACTATTTGCATGCTTTTTATTTTTATCTATTCATTTTTAATAGTAGATTGTTTTATTAGGATCAAAAGTGACACTTTGTTTGACAAGCGAATTTTGCATTTGCGAGGCGGAGCGTTTAGCGAAGCCGAGCGAAAGCAAAATTTGCGAGTCGAACAAAGTCACTTTTGATCCGAATGAAACATGCTATTTTTTCTGCAACCGAAACAATCAACTCAAATAAACATGTGAAGTAACCACCCATAATGCCGTGCCATATGTATGCAATGCAACAAATATTGACAAAAATCTATGTGGTGAGAATATTCTACCTGCATTAACAGCAGGTTAGATTTTCTAAGATGTTTGAATTGTAGTTTCAATATAAGTACAACCACAGAGTGACATATTTGTGTATGGAACAGGTGCTCTAATGGCTAATACCGCGCCAGTGCCAGCTATAGGAACAAGACGTGGAAAATGTTTGGTTAGTGAGCATATCAACAATGATAATAGAGTTTATTTATTCCTCTCCATACTACACTGTGTTTGACTTGATAATCAAATGAAGCTAAACAATATCGTTGTTTGAGACAAAAAAACAATTGCTTGACGTGATTATTCAAAAACAAGTTATCCATCCCGAGAATAACGAATGAAATACAGATCACGCAAGTATTTGAATCTTGAAGGCTTCCCTGATCGAAACAAAAATACTTAACTGAGATATGTTTATAATTTCAATACTAAACTATAATAAGGTGTATTTATATCTCCAGCATGGGTATGAAATGCCAAATCTGCTGAAATCGGAAACAAATCAGGTATGCGTCTCAACCCAAATAACCAACCGCCACAATGTTGTTTTTCTGCAACCGAGACAAAAGTCGTCCATTTTGATACCAAAATTAGCTCTTAAATTGACGTTTCTATTACTGACACAAAAATAGGTATGTTGCCAGGCAACATATTTAGTTCCTAGGAGCTAAAGTTGAATTTTAGTTCCTAGGAGCTAAAGTTGAACTTTAGCTCCTAGGAACTGAAAAGGAAGTACTGGGCGTCATCAAGAATAAACAACATTGTTACGGTTTGTTATTTGGGTTGAGATGCATACCTGATTTGTTTCCGATTTTGGCAGATTTGGCAATTTATACTCATGCTGGAGATATAAATACACCTCATTATAGTTAAGTATTGGAATTATAAACATCTCAGTCAACTATTTTTGTTTTGATCAGGGAAGCCCTCAAGATTCAAATACTTGCTGGATCTGTATTTCTTTCGTTATTCTCGGGATGGATAACTTGTTTTTGAATAATCACGGCAAGCAATAGTTTTTTGTCTCAAACGATATTGTTTACCTTCATTTGATTATCAAGCGAAAACATTGTATTATGGAGAGGAATAAATAATCGCTATCATTATTGTTGATATGCTCACTAACCTAACATTTTCTACGTTTTGTTTCTATTATAGCTGGCACTGGCGCGGTATTTGCCATTAGAGCACCTGGTCCATACACAAATATGTCACTCTGTGATTGTATTTATATTGAAACTACAATTCGAACATCTTTGAAAATTGAATGAACCTGCTGTTGATGCAGGTAGAATGTTCTCACCACACGGATTATTTAATATTTTTGCATTGAATACATATGACACGGCATTGGTGGTAACTTCACATATTTATTTGAGTTAATTGTTTCGGTTGCAGAAAAAATAGCATGTGTCATTCGGATCAAAAGTGACTTTGTTCGACTCGCAAATTTTGCTTCCTCTCGGCTTCGCCAAACGCTCCGCCTCGCAAATGCAAAATTCGCTTGTCAAACAAATTGTCACTTTTGATCCTAATAAAACAATCTACTATTAATTCTAGCCAATAAGTTTAAATGTTGGCATAAGAAACTGTCGTTTTAATACATATAGGTTTGAACTCGTGCTAAAAGGCTTCAAAGGAAGTAGTTTTGATAGGTTTTATTATTGCTCTGAGGCAGACAAGCTTTAAGAGAAACTGTGACAGCATTTATAAAGCTGGGCCCTCTATTTTTTCAAATCATATTATTAATGTATAATAGTTTTAAAAAGGCATTTCAAAATAGGTTCTAACAACCTCCTGTAGCTAACAATAAAACTGATAATGTTATTTGGGGTAGACTTCTTCTAGCCATGAATCTGCATGAATCGACGAAAACCCTACTGCATGACCACCAAGAATTCAAAATCTTTCTCTAATAAGACTCTACATACTCTGTGCATGACATGCTTTTTCGTGTTCTTTCCTTATGAGTTTGTCTGCGGGAGTGTTTTGCAGGCAGTAATCTTGGATGACGAAAAACTACTTTAATCGTCTATATAGGGACACAAACTGACAAGGGCTCTTATTCCCGACTCTTCTATGAAATTTTCATAATGCATGTATTACCCCAAGCAAAACGATATCCATTTTTCACACCAGTGAATAAAAGTGGTGAATAACCATTATTCTCTGGTCTAAAGGTCCTAGGGTACGTGATATAACATATATCGCGTATATAACATATATCGAGTACCCTAGGAACTCTAGACCAGTGAATATTGGTATTTCACCGCTATTATTCATTGGTGTAAAAAACTGTTCTCGTTTTGCTCATGGAAGTACAACAGTCGGGGACAATAACAATATAACAGGTATCTCAAATTTTAAGTTTCATTTATGTCAAATGAGTTATGATAGAACAGTTGTTAAACATAAATTCATGTATCAGAGACAATAGTAGTCCTACAATTATAAATGAAATGTCGAAACCTAATTATCATTCGGATAACTCTACTTTATCTTGAAAAATAGTAATCGATTTCCACAGTACTAGTATGGTTCAAAAAAGAAGTTGCAGTTTTTTTTCTTTCTACTGTATTTCGTTATGATGATTTGGCACTATGTATCTTCGCCATTATGTACCTGTTCGTTGATTTGGCACTAATTCCTTGTAAGTATGGGCGTTATAGGTTATGTTACATTGTGATAAAGGGTCATCGCACGGGAAGAAGATGATGACGTATTTCGCCCCACTTTTCAGGTCTACAATGGTCCTCGGTTGCGCATGACCGCGTTTGAATATTTGAAGTTTCAAATCCTAACAATAATAACAGGCAATAATATATTCTGACTTGAAATAGATGGTGATTTAATGATATTCCTTCTTTTATGATGATCTAGATACCTCTCTTGATATTATCGACATATTTTTCACTACACTGGTGAGGTAGAAATACCATGTACAGGGTTTTCGCGGGGATATCTCCCGCCTATAATTTTATATCGTCCGTGTGATTGATGTGTGTGGGAGTATAGGGGAAGATACACAAAAAAAGGGTGATCTTCCGGTTAGATGTGGCAACGACAGCCCCTTCGATCGTGATAGGCACCATTTTGTCTGCAGCAGTTTACCAGCTTGGTCACAGAAGTAAGCCGTGAGATCTGTTTCTTGAATAATTTCGAATTTGTCTAACATTCGATTTTCCATTACTTAGTGTTGGGATTAATTAGGAAAATATCTCAAATTTGGGATATCCATTATCATCGCTGGGATGTGATTCCTGTTGCCTCTATAGAGGGATTCTTCGTGGCTGAAATCCACGTGGCCGACGACGAGACTTGCTGTACCACCACTCCTGGAACCCACACACCATCCAAGGTACTAAACTACTACCCCTGTTATAATGTGAATAACTTTCTTCAGTTTAGAACAATTTGAATTTGGTTCACACTGTTCGATAGCCCAGTCCTTCAGTTATAATCTCGTACTTCATTGAAACAAAAGGGTATTCACATAAAATCTCTACATGGTGTTTTCCGACACTGCGAAATTTCGGAATATTCAAAAGGATCTCAAATGGTGAAAAAAATTGTTTTGTCAACTACAGCAACAGAGGCATAAAGATGATCTCATTATCTCGAGATATTTCGCGATTCAACTTCCTATCTCTCTTATATTTACAGAGGCATAAAGATGATCTCATTATCTCGAGATATTTCGCGATTCAACTTCCTATCTCTCTTATATTTACAGAGTGATCTCAAAAAATCAACTTTTTGGTTTTGAAGCCATAACTTTTTTCCACGTCAACTGATTTTGGAAATCTTAGGCTCATTTCGAAGATAAAACTTCAGATGAAGAGATCTGAATATCAGAATTGACTCAAGATGGCTATGAAAGATCTAGAGTTTTCTTGAAAGTGACCCTGGAACGCCCTTCGAATCTTGGTTGGGAGGAGAATTGAATGAAAATCAACTTGTTCTCGGAAAAACAATTCATTCTGGATGCGTCCATATTTTCCTCGCCCTCAGTAGTCAAGAATTGTGCGTGAGAAAACACAATTGAAACATGTTCTTGCAAAAACATTAGATCATTTCTCCTCTGTAATGCATGGCCCGCCGTAACCAACGTTACAAGAATCACAATGAGTGACTAACAAACCCGACCAGCTGAGGCTCTCCATAATGGTGTACCAACAAGAGCAATAACGGATTTTGATTTCATCAATAAAGTGATTTTTTTAAGAGTTGTCACGTACATAACATGCGATTTAAGAATATGGAACAGTATTCAAGCAAACAACGTTTATTTATTGTAAAAACGCATTTCAAAAATGGTGAAAGTTTCACGAAAACAGTTTGCCGATTACGTGTTGTTTTCAGTCGCAATAATGCGCCGAACGAATCGACAGTAATAACAAAACAATTCGTGTCGGAGATAAGCCCTTTGAATGGATCGGACCGTCGTATTTAGCAGATTCGCGATTTGGAGGGAAGATAATC